AGGATAGTGAGATTTGATGGATGTAACCCAAAATCCAGGAATGTCATTGCCAACTTTTTGTTGCCAAGTCCTTGCTTGTTGTCAGGGCATTTCAGATGATGATGCAACTCTACACAGAACTTAAATTGTTAAGAGCATCTTGTATCTTGGGAGAAAGTTGGAATCTGATACTTACAATTTTTTTAAATCCAGCTCTGTGGGAAAGGAAAGGCAGAAAATACCGCCAACAAATTGTCCAATCTGTAAGCTGGGGATTCTCATTTTTACCTGAGAGACAGTTCTCAAGCCAGTGGTGTTTGACACTGAATTGATTATTTGGAAGCAAATATAAGCTCTCTATAAATAAAATTGGCAGATTATATTAAAAAAATGCAAAAAAGTAATGAGAATAGTGGAGAAGAGTGTGTATCTCAGAAAGGCTCTTCACTTAGCTTTTTGTCTTAAAACAGTCAAGTGCAAACTTACGTGCTTGGAGAAAATGGTATATCACTCCTCCAGAGAGAACTGCATGTTAAAAAAAAAAGTTAAGTCTGTAAAGACATGGACTGTATTAAAGTGCAAGCAGCTTCAATTTTCTTGGACCTGCCATTCTAAACACTAAAATCCAGGTGCTGTCCCAGCCCTTTAAAGTGTAGATTTAAGACATGATGTAACAGATGTTTACAGATAGACAATCTGGGGGAAGCAGATGCTCTTGAGGTGAGATAGGAAGAAGGTAGCATAACACACAGCCTGTTTTTTAAGGCTTATAGGGAACAGAGAAAAGAAGAGCAATGTTTGAGGTTGAAGATTGTAAAAAGTATTTTACAGTGTGAGATACAGAACTCTGATAGTGATTAGACAAGGGATAATGGCTTTAAAATGGATTTAATGTTTTTAAACTAAAAGACGGTAGATCCAGACTAGATGCAAGAAAGACCATTTTTAAAACAAGGTTGGTAAAGCACTGGCAAAGATTGCCCAAAGAAGCTATGGCTGCCTCATCCAGGGAAGTCTCCAAAGCYAGGTTGAACTTGCAGTGACCTTACTGACCTTATTAAGAGYTGRAGATGTCCCTGTCCATGGCTGGGTGGGRCCAGRTGGCATTTAAAAGTTCCYCCCAACCCAAAYCTTTCTACAATTCTATGAACTCTTAGAAAGTTGTGAGTGATCTTATTAGAATGTGTGAGTACATGTACTAAGTGAAAACACTAGATACTGAAGCAGTTTTTAGTTGTGCCAGGGATCAGGCACAACAGCAACACCAAAACGAGCAGCTTTAAACTGCAACAGATTGATTCCAAAGGAATACAGGCACATGCTTTCAGTGCTGAAAGTGACTASCTAGTGAAATTACAGTGGTAACTTTTCCAGTGTGCTACAATTTACTTGGTTTGTGTAACAGATCATTGGTGGTAAGTGTGAAGTAACTTGTCAGATGTAAGTGGCCAGAGTAAGTCCTTCATGACCTTAAGTCATGACTGTCACTATATAGTGGATGAAATTTGCAAAAGAGACGTCTATCAAAGGACGTTAAAGCCAAAACCTCTGGCACAGCAGGTCTCTGAATTACACATCTGTAAAGAGATAGGAGACCTGCCGGGAGGGAGCACTTTTGTCTACCCTGTTTTTATGATTTTTTTTCCAGGCAGACAGTGTGGGCCACATCAGAAAGAGGGTAAATGAGTCAGATGTGCTTACAATTTGACTCTGTGCCACCATTTTTGTGTTTTGTGCTAAAAAAGACTGGGTATTTTTCAAGGATGCACTTTAGTTCAGCCAGAAATTACGAAGTATTTGAGGATTGTGATACTGAGTTTGTGTACTGCAGTGGGGCAATGAAATGGCCAGGAAGACAAATTACCATGATTGTCATATTTAACCGTGTAGCCCTGAAGAAGTGCACACCCTTATTTGGTGTCTTTACTTGCCCCTACATGCATTGTGTGCATGTACTTTTATGTATGCTTCTCTTTTTTTGGGGGTCCGCACAATTGGATGTTTTTCTTCCTTGTTTTCAGTTGTGAAGGTAATTTCCTCGGTTGCGTGTTTTAGACTGGCTGACATAGCATGTTGATCCTAGAGAAGGATGTACAATGTATGTTTACAAACACAAGGAGATTCTGTCCCAGCTGCATTTTTAACTTCAAGGAACAGGTGAGAATAGACTCTCCATCTTTTCACCAGTGACAGAGCTGCTACTYTCCCAAATTAACAAGTATACTTAAAAAAAACCCCAAACCCAGATGCTGTGAACTCAGATACTATATCTGATCATGGTGTCCATCAGTATTCTCCAAGACTGGAATGTAAATATTGTGCCTCTGCTGTGCAACCTGGATGAGTAGTGCATCTCCTTCGGGGGATCTGCCCAGGGTGGTCTTCCCCTTCCTCCATGGGGCACAGCTGACCAGGAGTTCAGGTCTGCACTCAGTCCTGTACTCAGTCACAGCTCACAAGCTGCTTCACCCCAAAGTGCTGCAGAGCCAATTCCCWGCACACTGGAGAGTGCAACCCAGGAACTTGCAGGCAGTCTAGGCTGTTTCACAGAAGTTCTGAAGTTGCTGTTGGTTGGATGAGGTGAGCAGATAAAGGTTGGATGAGATGAGCAGATAGAGGACAGGATACTCTCATTAAAAGGTGCACATTTCCCCAGCTACAGCAAGGTATATTTGCTCAGCAGACTCCTCCATTCTTAAMTCCAGCACAAAGAGTTCTTTTCATAGGAACCTGGTGTCTTCTATTTGGCTTTGAGCATCGTCTTGTCACACATCTGTCGTGAAATATTCTGTTCAGCATTGCAGAGCRTGTGCAGGTGCAGGCTGCCAGCTTCATCTCAAGCCAGGAGTCATGGCCTGAATCATTACACCACATTCTTTCTTGCCCCACTGTCCCAGGSCTCACTACTCCCTAGACCTGTACTTCAGCCAAGGCAGTTGCCCTCTCCCTTTCCCATTCCGGACTATTTCCTGGATGTATTTAGCACTTACCTTATCTTCTCAGCATGCATGCTGAACTGTTGCTCATGGATTCTCAAAGGGGGCAATTTTCTGGTGACAGGTAACCACAGAAACTCATTTTCCATTTGCAACAGTGTTTTGCTGGTACAAATAACTGTAGGAAAAAGCTTGAAAATGTGACACATAAATACAGCAAAAGAGCCAAAAGCATATGTATAGTCCCTCTTTAAACACACCCAGTGAGACTTAAATCCACCTAATGATCTTTACAATATTTTACTTTATCTTTTAGACTTATATTGTTTTGGAGCATGTGAAGCTGGAAGGTTTGCTTGGTTCCTTGCAGATGGAGCTCAGTTCTTTCACTGCTTCCTCACAGCTCCCTGAGCATCACCCCAAAGTATTCCCTGTCAGTGCTCATTCCATCCATGCTTCCCTCCTCATTCCCATGGACTGCAGGGCTTTGGCAAGTCACACTGAGGGTTCCTTCTAATTGCGCTGCCAAAGTGCACATCTCAGAGATCTTCCACAGGGTGTTTATGTAGCAATTTTCCAGTTACAGTGGAGCCCGCCAGGCCTAGTACCCTCATCCTCACCCTCCCAGGAGTCACAAGCTCCTTAACACAAGGGAAAGCGTGAGGACAGCTGCTTGGATCGCAGCTCTGGGCTGGTTCTGAATTGGAAGGATTGAACGTGCCTCAGAGCTCCTCCAGCCTATTTGCTCTCTCATCCTGTTACTACCATACCCATCACCACTGGAATTCTGACTGCTTCTCGGTGAAGCGCGGCCCCGKCGCTGCCGGTGCGAGCCCCGCTCGGTACCGGTGGGAAGCGCTCGTAACCTCGCTGYGAGCGGGCGGTGCTCGGCACCAGCCAGGTACGGGCAGCGCGGGCCGGGCTGGCACCGGGCKGGGCGGGGGCTCTGCGTCGGGCCCGGAGACCCGGGCGGGGGGGACGCAGAGCGGGGACGGCAGGCGGCGCTGTGGAGCGCCCGCAGGCTGCGGCGGCGGGTCGGGAGCGCTGCGAGAGCACCGGGGCTGCGGCGGCGGGGGCGGCAGGGGGCGGCGGTGAGTGCGGGGCGGGGGCGGCGGGTTTGGGGGACTGCGATAGTAAGGGGGCTCTAGCGGTGGTGCGGGGCGCTGGTGGGGAAAGAAGGGGGTGACTGTGGCGGCGGAGGCAGGGGCGCCGGGGCTGGAGACCGCGGCGGCGACGGCGGACCCAAAGCCGGTCCRTCCCTCTCTCGAGCCCTCTCGAGGTGGCAGAGCCGGACCGGCCCGTGGGGCTGGGAGGATGCGGGCGCCGCACTCGCCTGTCCACGGGAGGAGCTCTGCGCCACACCGCCCCCGCGGGGCTGGGAGCGGGGCAGGGGCCGCGGCTGCACCACCCTCCCGCCGCAGCAGCGCGGCCGGGGCCGGGCTCTCCCGGAGCCGGACCCTGTCCCCCGGCGCGGCGGGCGAGATGCACTTTACAGACGGTCCCTGGCCGCTCTCCGCAGCGCCGCGCAGGCGCCCCGCGCTCGGACAGCCCCGGCGGGAGCGGAGCATGGACGGGACGGTGAGCGCCGCGCAGCCCCCGCGCCCCGGCCGCCCTCCGGCCCCGCTCTGCCCCGGGCATCTGCCAGACGCCCACGCCGGCGGTAGCCCCGGGTCGGGCACGKGCAACGCCGCTGCTGCTCCCGCTCCGGCGCTGCCCGCAGGGCTCGCCCGGCCTGGAGACCGGTGGAGTCCACCCGGCGGTGCCTCCTTCCTCAGCCGCCGCCGCCGCTCCCCCGCGGAGCCGCGGCTGCAACAYCCTGGTGCGGCTGCCGCGCCGCGCTCTTCGCTCTTCCCCGCGGACTCGGCTTTACGTGATGCAGCGCCCGCCTGGCCCCCGCCGGCTGTCCCAGCGCGGGCCCGGCGTCTTCCGCCGAGCCCCGGTGGCTTTGCTGCCTTGCAGRAACTCGGCTCGCTCGGAGAGACAGGCAGAAAGGGTTCATTTACCGCTCCCGAATGTGGGCTGCTGGCCCCCTCGGGGCGGTCTCCTTTAGCAGGAGCTGACTTTACCGGGGGAGGCATCATCACTCATCTGGAATTGCCCATCCTGCCCTGACATGGTCCGTGTCTCCTCTGGAGAAGARGGTTCTCTTCTTAACATCCTGTCCCTAGAGACGTCCCAGCGCTGCCCTGCATCTGACTGCTGTCTGGTGCTCCAGGAACAATCAGCCTTTACACAGGAGATGGCAGCTTTGGAGAGAGTATTTGACTTGCTGCCTCTAAGATGCCCCTCAGTTCTGTCTTCAGAGSGAGATACATAGTTCCAGATGTTCTCTCAGGACTAACAGATCCGTGTCTTTAGGAGACTGATGTTCCGCGTAATCTTTTGGGAAATCTGACTTCCCACACATGCAAACMATCTCATTTTGGCACCAGGAGTTTGCTGCTGGAGAGTACTCCTCCTTCCCTCCGGTTCCCTGAGGCCTGAACTCTGCTCTGTTTCCTCCATCACCATGGCCTGTGGACGATCCCTGTGTGCAAGTTGCTGCTGGCAAAAACTGAGGTAGAATTGAAATGAGGGACTGGGAAGCAAGCAAGTTCTTTCACCAGTTAGAATGATCTGGGAAAGCGTGCATTATCCTTGCCTGGTGCTGTCAGCACTGTCCTTCCTGGAGAGACTGACTTCATCCTACTGCCCATCCAAGGAAGTCCTGCAGCTTCTGAAAATAACCAGTTCCTTGGTGTTGTCTCCAGCAATGAACAATCTGCTGTTTTCCATGGGGACACCACCAGCGAAACCAGCCCATCTTCCCTCCCTGAATCCCCTGACCTCTCTGTGAAAAGGAGCTTGCAGCTTTGCCTTGCCCTTAAGGCAGGGTGAGGACACTCAGCCTTTGCTCTCCTCGTTTTCGTGCTAGTCAGTGCTGCAGCATTGTACCTTTCTGTACCTCATGCACTCTCCCTTCTCACTTGCACTTYCTCCACTGCAGTGTTTGCCTCAGCCCCTGCTTGCCTGGGCTCCATCCTTCCTTCACTACAGCTGTGTTTCAGCGGAATTCATCATGATCTTTTGGCCCTTTGTTCTTCCCTTTTTCTGACTCAACTAGATTCAGAGCCTTGATCCTGTCCSTGATGGAGTTACCCACTCTACTCGTGCTGCCTGCCACTGCCCACTGCAATGCTCAAACTTCCCTTTCTTGCCTATCCTTTATTTGAACAGTTGTTTCTATCTATCTGCATGTCTAGGTGCGAGCTTATGCTTGAGAATGCACCAGGTGTGCTGGTGCTCACACCTGTTCTGCTGTAATTCTGCTTTTCTTCATCAGGTATAGTAAGACCTGTCAGGAGCAGCAGGGCTTTGTATGTGCAGGTGCAGCTGGCTCAGCTCTTCCCAAGGAACAGATCCCTTCTTAGTCTGGTTCATCTTCTTTCGGATCTATCATGAGCATGCAGACACTGAAGCTGCCTGACTATGCCCTAAATCTGTGGGATCATTAGTTATTAAAGTCTGCCACATTCTCACTATCCTACTGGGGCAGCTAACGGTGCCTGCTAAAATGCTGGAGTGTTCTGGTGGGAGTTGATGTTGAATTCTTTAAGGAGTTGATTTTTTCAAGGATGAAAGCAAGCTGACTTGGTTAATGTTCCTGAGCTGACCTGCCTTCCCAAGGTTGCAAACATTTGTGTAAGAAGATACCCTTGCTTCTTGGGACAGGCAAATTCCAGGGATCCACTCCAGTCCTACCCACCCTGTGGTCTTTATCAGAGCCTGCTCAATATGTTCACAGGTTATAGGCATGTGGTGACCTTTGTGTTCTTTCCAGTCTCCACAAATACAAGCTGGGTCCTGTGGGCCAGTGCCTGGGCAAAACTGCTGCCCTGGCAGCCTGGACATGCACCTGTGTGCAGTCTCCAAAGAAGTCTCGAAAAACTATATATCAGGTGCATCTTCCCTTCCTTGCTTTTCTTCCCCCTCTTCCCCAAGTTGTGCTGCTTATGAAGTGTCACATGGATTGGTGCTGTTCTAGGAAATGTTATTTTTATTATGTATTRCTTCCGTCTCACCCAGTATGTACTTTCTCTTTTCAGAGCTTGATCCATATGGATCCTCAGTCTGCTGTCTTAGAGCTGATCCTGCTTTAGGTCAATGAGAACATCTCCTGCTCATTCATCATGACGTAATATCTGGTCTCCTGCTCCATCCACAGGATAAGTTTCTTGCTTCCTCTTGGTCTACACAGATGTGACTCCAGGTGTTCAGCTRCCTTGTCTGGTACAGGTAGGTTTTAGCTCTTTGAAAAGTGACTTGTTTTAGTCGGGAAGGATGTTTCTGTGCTTTGTATTTGGCATGGAAAATGCTTGCCTTTGGGCATATGGGAAATAGGMTGTTGTGAAATAAATCTTAAGCTGCCAGCTTGCTGCTGCTGACCTAAACTGGTGCTTTGAACAGCCAGTTACTTCTGTSATGGTTTGTGCTAGTTCTGGCAAGAAGGTGCTGATCTGACAGAGTGGACTGGCTCAGAGGAAGTGACACTGGAGGATGCAGTTGCTAAGAGGAGGAGGAGTAGCAGGAGAGGAGTGGTAATTCATTACTCCATTTGTCACAAATAAATATAGTTCTTGTAAGGCGGTTATTGGTTTGTGGAGTTCCCATACTTCTCAGTGCAGGTTTAAATTAGCTCTTCCCAGCTCAGAAAAGTTCTTCAGTACCTGCTGTTATTGGATGGGCATTGGTCATCTCCATGATAAGGTGCTCAAATCTGCCACTCAGATCTTCATTTTTTACCATTAGTTCCATTCKTCTTGTTGCTTCCACTGTGAATATACACCTGTAGCTATCTGTCTGTTTTTCCAATGAGTACACAGAATGCCTGTAAGGGACTTTTGTTTTTTTCCACAGCTGTATTGGTGACTTCTCACCTTTCACCGCCTACACAGGTCACCTCACTGGCAGCGTAAATTGTGCGCTAGAAGAAATGTGTATTATTTTGCTTTGGAAATAAAGAGCCTAGGTTATAACAATTCTCACTGGAAYTGGAAGAGCTTATGTATGAAAACTCCTTCAGTTTTTTGATGAAGATAATATGTTAATATTAACCTTCGGTTCTCTTTATCACTCAGCACTCTCTCCTTGTCCAGTGGTTTCCAAGCAGAGTGCTTGGGCTAACACCTGGAATATGGTGGTCTCTCCTTAAATTGAACAGCATTCCAGGAGCATATCTTTTCTGGAAAGATGCAGCTGGAGGAATTGAATGGTTCTTAATTTAAACTGTAAAGGATTAAGAGTTTGGATTATGTTAGGTTATCTAGGTTTTGTATTTTTATGGAAATGTCCTGAGTTAATGGAAACAAGCAGATATCTACAATTTATGTGCCTTTTCATCAGCCTCACAAGGTTGCGCTGTTTTCTCCTTAGCACTTTCATAATGTCGACACTGGCTAATAGGTCTTGTTCAGGGAATGTTCCTCAGAGGTTATCAAGTGAAGTGTGTTTGGTTTCTGTGAATTGACAGCCTTAGATGCTCTTGTCACATGTTTCTAATATTCACTGAGTAAACATGAAAGTGACAGTGATTCTGTTGTTTCTGTACCTGGATGTATTTGAGAGCACTGRCAGCTTTGCGCTGGACAAGGACCCCATTAATTTTATGGAAAGCTGTTTTGATCTTCCTTCCATTAAAAAAAAAAACCAAAAAAAACTCTGCATTCATAGGCTCCAGTGTTTGAGAGGCAAACTTMTTGTCCTTTGCTTTCTGGCCTCTTACAGTCTTGTTGCCTTCTCCGTTCTGTACTGGCACAGAGATGGTGTCTCTGTYTGTTTGTGGTCAGTGCCCAAAGTGAGGGGTAAAAACATTTCTCTCTGAACAGAATTAGCACCATGGCTTAATTGAAGGTCTTAGCTAGACTGAAGAATTTGCCTGCTCCAAGAATGTCAGTCTAAGATTCTATTCAACATTGTATCTTTTACCTTTTGCCTCAAAATATGGCATGCTTACTTTCTGCCTGTGAATGAATTAAAAAAAATTATTTGTTTAAGGTAGTTCAGCTCCTTTTGAGATCCTAAGCTGCAGAGATGGAAACACAATTTACCCCTTACGTATTTTTGTATTTACAGGCACAGCTACTGCATTGAAGTGGGAAATCATRTAAACTTAACTTTTCAGCATGTGGCCTTTGATTTGAAAATGCAGTTTTGATGAGCACCTCTCTTATGGACACTGGCTGAGAAAGTTGGGGCTGTTTAGTCTGGAGGAGGTTGTGTGGAAGTGTCTCAAGGGGCTACAGGGAAACTGGAGAGGGATTCTTTGTTAGTAACTGTAGTAATAGGAAAAGGAGTAATAGGTACAAATTGAAAGASAGGAAATTTAGGGTAGAGATTAGGAAGAAATTTTTTTACTATGAGGGTGATTAGACTCTGGAACAGGTTGCCCAGGGAGGTTGTGGAGCCTCAACCCTGGCAGTGCTCAGAGCTGGTTGACTAAGACCTTGAGTGATCTGGTCTAGTGGGWGGTGTCCCTGCCCATGGCAGAGGGGCTTGGGATTAGATGATCTTTAGTCCATTCTAATTCCTTAACATTTTATGAGTCTATGATGTGAAAGAGATTTGACTTCACTTGGTGAAATTGCAAGGCCCAACRAAGTATTAATATTGAGCTGGCATCTACTGAAAGATATTTTTCTTATAGCCCCAGAACTGTTGATTCCAAAGTTCAAAAACTCAGGTGAGGAAGTAGGGAAACCAGCATGGCTGAGTAAGGACACCCTTCCTGGTCAAACTGAAACAGCAGGGAAATGCAGAGGCAGTGGAAGCAGGAACA